ACTACACCCACCAAATTTGACAGTTGGTGTGGTGTTCTTGTGTGCGTATGCTTCGCCGTCTTTCCTCCATAGATGATTCAGGGAATTGCGATCGAACAACTCAATTTTACTCTCATCTGTCAAAAGAACTCTTTCCCATTAAGAATTTTCCTTATCTTCATGCTCTGTCGCAAATTTCAACCTGGCGTCTCTGTGCCGCTTCAGAAGTAGTGGTGTCTTTCTTGGGGAGCGCGACTTTATATAGGCTCTACGTAGTTCATTACTAATCGTTTGTTTAGTTACGTTAACTCCTGACAAACTCAGATCATTCCGAAGGTCTTGTCTGATGTACATTGAGTTATTTTGGAACTGTCGCATCAACTTTCTGAGAGAGACCTTCCTAGGAGCACCGGGTCTGCCTTTGTTCTTAACAGTATTACGTCTTTTAAATCTTGCAATAAATGAACCAATTGTTGAAAAAGGTATGTTCCTGTCACTGGAGATGTTTCTGTAACTTTTTTCCATTGTTCCATTGCTTAATAATTCGCTCTTTTTGAGCACAAGTCATTTCCTTACGTCTAGCCATTATTACAACAGTTATCAGTGAACAATGACTGCAGAATGATCCAATTTTGAACTGAATGTTGCAATAGAGTTACTGAGAATATTCTAGAACTGTTTAGAATCTTCTAATTTGAAGTACAATCAAAATCTACCGTATCATAATGCAAAAATTGTTACTGTACGAACACTTTTTCTACTATTAGAAATATAAAAATTTGCATAACTATTATTGATGAATTTCTAATTTTAAATTGCAGATTCTGCTTCCATGCCCCAAATACATTGTTATTCGAGGTTTTCATTCGCTATAAGTGAAAATAACAAACATTTATTTACTATACGATCACTTATTCAACCCGACTATATATATATATATATATATATATATATATATATATATATATATATATATATATATATATATATATATAAGGCAGGATGTGTGTGTGTAATGAATGCACGGCCACAATTTTCGACGGATTTGCACCAAATTTTACATGCACATGCTCATAGTTAGCGGGAAGGCCAAGACCGACTTTACATTTCCCAACTCTCATCGATAGTGGAAATAATCGATTTTTTCATGCTTCTACGGCAGTTTTCATGTAATTTGCGGCCATTTTGTCTTGGCCAGAGTGAGAGCCAATAGCTGGCTGCCACAAATAGGCAGGAAGATTCTATTAGCTAGCGTGAGAGCCAACAGCTGACTGACACGAATGTTAACTAGCATGCTAGCATGCAAAAAAATCGGTAGCTGCATTCGTCACAAGTGGGAAAAATTTAAATCTGCATGGCACTTTACTCCAATTGTCTCATTCGCTTGCTTAAACTCAACGTTGATTCTGATTCCGCAGAACTGAGTTGGGTGTGAAAAAGTATTTGTTGTTAACATTCTTTTTTCATTCGGTTTTACCAATTACGTGTCCTTTTTTAAAGCTGGTCGTTTTGTGTTAATTTTGTTTAGTTCTTTTTTCGTAACAGATTTAATGTTTAGTATAGAGCTTAGAAAAAATTCGCAGTGTGAGATCGCAAGGAGTAAGGCATTTAGCAACATCAGCACGGCAAAGGCACTCCTTTAAAGGCATGGAAGGGCAAAAATATTTTAAGTCAAGTGATAGTGATTGCTGTATGAGTCGTACGATTTTTTAATCAGGCACGGAAAACGCCCGGCCATGCTGCTATATATATATATATATATATATATATATATATATATATATACATACCGGGAGTAACCGATGTATCATGGAAATTATTAAGGATATCTTACTGGAATTCACCGAGGTTTTTATAACACTATTGGACTCTACTTTGAACAATAAGAATGCATTTAGTTCTAAGTTGAAACGATGATCCGTCTTGCTATTTCTAATTTCCTGATCTAACTTTCCTCTCTAATTTTCCATTTTGTTTTATAATTATTCACCGTACTCTTGATAGTTTTTCAACGGTCTCTGAAAATGGAAGCCAGAGTATGAATGTTGGTACCATTATTGAAGGCCTTAATCTTCTTTTTCCTCACAATATTGCCCAGTTAGGAAGACATAGTGAGGCTGACGCAAAATGATTTTAACCTGTTCTATTTCTAGCTGAATAACTTAAAATGGTTTTTCAGTGATTCTTGCACAGATAACAAATGGTGTCAAGTTTGCTAAAGCTCTTATCTGAAAACCTGGAAAAACGAAACTCAATTAGTTTAGTGTTTTTTAAACATTTTGTGCGATGCATAATTCTTCTGGTTGCCAATTGAACAATTTTGCTGTTACCCCTCGTATGTAGAATAAAAACATCGTTTTAAAGTGTGCTTTATGTGTAAACTTGAAGCAGAATAATAAATATATAAGACAATGTGAAAATATTTATGTTACTTCTAATTTTTTTTACAATAGTTCACCAAGGCCATATAAACAACTTATGGTCCAGGGTTACTAAGGGCTGATTATAGTAATGGCGTGTAGAGAGAGGTAACAAAGAGATGCATATTATAAGGATAATGGCTACCCTAGACATAAAGCTCAAGGTTATAGAGATAAGAAAAGCATTCTTTTAGGCAGCTATTCGGAGAAGAAGCTGACTGGTTGGAGCATCTTCTGAACTATTGGAATATGAATGATATTAGGATGAGTTAACTCAGTGTATGCCTGGTGGCAGGTCCCAGCTGTGGTGGTCTTGACTGGACTGGACTGGTGGTATAAGAGAATGTAGCTCTTCTGAATATCTGTCAAGAGAATATCGATATAGTTGGCGAAAAGTTAGGAATTTTTCGTCTGTGGGAAACGTGTGTATGGACGGACAATTGCGTCCCGGACAATTGCGTCCCGGACAATTGCGTCCCGGACAGTTGCGTCATTAGACATTTGTGTTCCTAAACAAAAGCGGCGCTCGATAATTGCGAACCTCTGATAATTTTTTTCACGTTACGGTTTTTTTTTTTGAAGATTTGTTTAATAGAGAAATTTGCACACCATTACCTTTAATTAATCTAGACAAGCAGAAAAGTAGTTAAAAATAAAAGAAAAGAGAGAAAAATTTCTTTTTAAAAGCAAGAGAAACTTAAGCTAGCAGTTTCAGTTCACTCCAACAGTGCGTACCACAAACATTTAATAGATTCTGAATTTTATAGATTGTTATTTTTATTTTGTGACTCGTGCCTTAGTTAAGAAAATCAAAAACTGGTGGAAAATATTTGCAGACGAGGAAAAAATTACAGCTATCACTATCATAAGAAAAACGAGTTAAACGCCGGGAAAAAAAAATACTGGCGATGTGTAGAGTGATCTTACAATACTGTTAATCTGCCATTGTCTTTTAAGCAAAAATAAACTTTTATTTTTTTTATTCCTTTTATTCTTTTTTTTTAAATATTTGCGATTACTGCTTCTTTGCAAAATTTATGGTAATTGCCTATAAAAACTTCAAAAAATTATCATAAGTACGTAACTATCCAGGGAAGCATTTATCTAGGAACTTAAATATCCGAGGACGCAATTGTCTGGAAAGCAAATGACCAGAATGGAACTGTACGTCCTAGAACCAGGATTTACTTATAGGCTTAGCAAGCTAAAGCCTAGGATCTCAAAATCCAGGGGTGGGGCTCCAGCCAAGGTGTATAATATTTTCGACACTATCATAAGACTTTCATTGCTGTCATAACGCATTAGAGATTCTAAATAAACCTTCAGTAATTTTAAACACTGGTCATCCAAAATGGAAAACTTCAAAAATTTCCAGAGGTAAACCGTTATCCAGAGACGCATTTGTCTAGGGACGCAAGTGTCTGGTACGCAATTGTCCGCGACACAAATGTCCAGTACGTAACTGTACTTGAACCAAAGGTTTGGTAGGCTGGAAAACAATTCAACGCTGGCGCGTCAGAGTCAAATGCTTTTGTACCCTGTCGAGGCTGAAATGTGGAGAGTGGATATGTCTAGCTAAAACGTGGCAGGAACACTACATTACTGGTCTGATCTGGCGCTTGTAAATAATATAGAGTAGGTTAGAAGGAGTCAAGTACGTTTCTGGAGCGGGACAACGAACAGATGATTTGTACACAGCGCCTTTAGTGACAAATCTTAAAAATTAATCTCACATCGTATGGAGTGGGCTTGCGTCCCGAGAAACTTCCCAAACATAAAGCCTCATTGAGAATACAAGCGTTCATTATGACTGTCGTGAAAATTTATGAATTGAAATTAATTAAAATCCATTGTCTAAAGAGATAATGCAATTTTTCTTACTAATGTAGATTTAAAATAATTTTGTTTCTGATGAGACAGGTTTATCAAAATTGAAATTTTCCAAATTTTCTAATATACTTATGAGTTCTGGGTATGACGATAGACTACATCTGGTAGCAAGGTTTCTGATCGGGAGATCTGGATATTTTGAGGAGCGTAAAATCACCTCTTAATTGCCGTTGTTCCCAGGTTCACCTTGTCCCGGATTGGTATTAACTGTTAGGGCCCAGCTATGGCAAAAATAGTGATTCCCCAATGAAGTGAAAAAACACTATGAAAGTATAAAGTACATTTTATAGCAAAAATACCAGCAATACATTTTTATATAAAAAAAGGGACCAACAATACCTATTTATAGTAAAATAACCAGCAATAGGTTTTACCTGTAGTTGAAGTGTGTTCAAAATGTTTAGATTTTGGAATTAAATAAGCCATAGAAGTTGATATGCCGCTAGACAAAATCAACCAACCAATGATATACTTATGTAGCCTACTTGTAAAATCTACGGATTAACAAAAGGATCATTTAAAGAACAAGTAGAAGCAAGGTAAAATGATTCTCTGTTCATCTCGATTCGGAGAAGCTACCAAAAACCCTGACAATGAACTTTACGAAAGTCGACACAGTTTTACAAGGATTATGAAAACAGCAACATAGAAACGAGTTATAAACAGTTAGGAAATATAGACTTACGGTCACATCACCGATTCCCGTACGGTCACATCACCGATTCCCGTACGATCACCGAAGTTAAGCAATGTCATGTTTGATCAGTATCTAGATGGGTGACCGATTGGGAATATCAGGTGTTTAAGCTTGGATATGGCTCGGAATTTTTAGGCAGAAAGCCGAGTTCCAGTTCCATTTGGATTCGTTATATTCATTTACGGGCAAATAACCTTAGGAAAAGACATGAATTCACCTCTTCTCCTCTCAGCTATGGGTTAATTAGTAGGACTTGTGCCAATAAACCATCATTATGATCAAATCATTCTAACAATCTAAAAATATTTTCCGGCTTGAAATAATCTGAAAAGCGTTGATAAGCCGTAGAAAACGAGTCAGTCAATGTTATGCAATATCAGTCTTCTTGTATGGCAGTAAATTCTTGACAATCTCCTCACAGAGGAAGAGCAAACTGGTGGTAACAGAAATATGTTTCTACAGAAGGATACTGAGAACTGATTGGATGAAACGCGTAGGAAGTTGTCTGAAGGAAAATTGAAAGAAAAAGGACGCTAATACTCAGAAGCAGACTGAGATAGTTAAAATTGTTTAGATACATAATGAGGAAGAAGTGCTTGAAGAATTTGACACGCACATGACATATCAAAGAAAAAAAAGGGGGGGACAGAATGAGGTAACGGCAAGTTACCTGATGAAGTTTTGCGAATAGATGCTTGTACGGTGGGTGGAAATCTACAAAGGATATGAAATTGTGGAGAGTCATTATCGCACACGTCCTGAAGCGACACAGAACATAACAGAAGTCAAAATGGCACTAATTTTAAGCTTGTAATGAAAATGAGTACAAGCTTAAGGGCAGGCGGTTTCCGTGCGAAGTCTCCAATCAATATTGATAGACTGTCTAGATATGTTTCTAAACTTAATCTTTGACTGTCTGGCGTTTGCGATAGCAGGAATCACTGATAAATCGAACATATATAAGGGGTATGGAAGTTTGATTTTTCGAGATCTGTCAGCGTATATTACATATATTGAGTTAATGTAGCCTTTGAAATTAACCATGCCGAGCTGTATTAAAAGCCAGTCTACATATCAAAATAGCGTTGTTGCATCTATAAAGCGATTCATAAATAAGTTTTCTAAAGAGGGTAATAATATCTGTCTATATCTCTGATATAAGATATTATAATTACTTGCGATTAGTTATATAATTCGGACTGTTAACCTCATCTTCATTGCCATATTCACAACGTTTCGGTCGTTGTACGCTCCGGTGTTCTTCAGATGTCTGGAATTTCGAACCGAACGCTTTATTTCGTCCACCGAGGTAGATTGTTCTAGTTCCACGTGCCATGCCTCTTCGCATGTCTGAGTTATTTCACTGTAACTCAACTCTTCAACTCCGACGTCTTTATCCACTAGGCCATGTGGATAAAGATATTGGTTAGATCCAGTGACTAGACCCAAAGTGTTTGAGTTCAGTATCAGGCCACAGCAGTGATGAAGCAAAACTTGGAGAGTTGATTTAAAAACGGGAATAACTGAGACACCCGGAAGAGGCATGTCACGTGGAACTAGATCAATCTACCCCGGTTGACAAAATCAAGAGTTTGGTTCGAAATTTCAATACCCCGAACAAAGCCGGAGATTACAACGGCCGAAACGTTGTGAATATGGTAATGAAGATGAGGATAACAGTTCGAATAATGTAAATAATAAGGGTAATAATAATAATATTAATAATAATAATAATAATAATAATAATAATAATAATAATAATATCCATTTCCTTATAAAGAAACATTCAGCATTCTTTGACTTAGCAGTTACTACAACGAGATTTATGTTTTTTCCTTCACTTCCAGATCATCGATCTGGGATTAAAGTTTAGTATCTGTTGTCTTTATTCTCTAACGAGATTAACCATTCCCGCATGAGAAAACACAACATTCATTGACCGAGCAGCCAGTGCTAAGTCCACTAACTGTTATAGCTCTTTTCGGTAGTGATGGAGGCTTCTTCGTGGATTTTTTTTTTCTTGAACTAGTGTCGAATGCCAGTATCTTGATGCTGTCATTATTTTCTTTTCAAGTTACAGGTGCTAACCATTTTAGTTGTTGCTGTTGTTGAATGGCTTCAAGAGACTTCGTTTCTGCTATCTGATATAGTTCTTTGTTTGGGATTGTGTAGCGTCAGTCCACAAGGTTCGAAGAAAAATGGTTCACACTCACACCTTCAACTTCAAGTATTTTATTCTGAATGGTTTTGGCAGCATGAATGAAGTCCATCCGAAAGTTTCAATCTGACGAGTTTGTAGGTTTTGTTTTTGTAGTAATTTTCGTTGGCGCGCGAGGAAAATAAAAGAAACCACCTTGCCCCAGAATTCTCGGTGTAATCAGCAATTATAAGCGAAAGTCTAAACAGAAATATTTTTCTTTCTGTTTTAGGTATGGTTATTTTCCCTATTTTTTCAATTAAATAATGGTACTGCAAATGTCGTTGGAGATATTCTTTGTAAACGTTTTTTTTTTCTTTCTAATCAAGTTTTAGGTGCAGTGAAAAGTTCAAAGCATACGCATCATGTTTTTTTTTCTTCTAAATCAATTTACACTAAGGAAAGCGATAAAGATTTTTCAATGTTTCTGACGCAAGCTATCTTTACGTTTTTTTTTAATAAAAAAAATCTCTTTAATATTGCAGAATTATGGAAGTGTTTATGAATTAAATTTAGTAAAATTCTCTCAATATTTGTTGCGACATTACCACAATAAGAAGTGGGGTTAAACCATAAAACATTACAATATTTATTTCCGTAAAATTAGAGAAAATGTGGCACAAGCCCTAAAAATGGGATGGGGAAAAGGACGGTCTACAACCGTCTTAATTTTAAACTTAGCTAGCCACAAGCACTGACCCAAGCATACAAACAATATTCCTAACACCAAAACAACACATTCTTACTAGCCTTTCTTACTAAATCCACCATAATACCTCATTGTCTCAATGAAAATCCTAAATACTCCCCATATGTACAAATCGTCGTATGTGGGTTGGGGAACAAAACAGCAAATTAAAAGGACACCCAATGATTATATACAATATGAATTAATCTAGTTACAAAAGACTAAACAAAATCATTGTTAGTAATACCCCCCCAAACATCAGTTCACTGGACGAAATCAATGCGGGCCTACAAAATATAAAAAAAAAAACATCCCTAGCACTCACACAGACACGCAGTCATCCAAACACGACAACAGAAAACGAAAAACACACACAGGCGAAAAAACGAAAATCGCCCGGCATCCACCAGACAACTGATATCACTGACCACCTGACAAAGGGAGGGGATGGGGAATTAAACTAAAGAAAAAAATAGGGACAGAAATAAAAGGGGTCAATGAACAGACACACCCTTGCTAAGTTTACTGGAAAAAAAGGAAAAAACTAAGGATTCAAATAAGAAAACCTACACTAACCTAATTTCCGGATGGGTTGCCCAAGTTCAACCTAGGAAGAACAATATCTGGATACCTAACCTGCATCAAAATGCCACTCTAGGTCAGCCCCTTTTACTCGACACAACCGCACAAGAGAGCCATAAGACTTTACGGTGTAACTGTATATTTTTACCTTTTTTATTTTATTTATAAATATTCTATATTTACTTTGTGGTTGCTTAGTACTAATGCTTTTATATATTTCGTTTTAATTTAATCGAATATTTCCTTATTGCGGGAGTTAGTAGATAATCTAAACAGTACATATTTAGGTAAACTATTTAATAGTAATGGCGGTGGGTGATTGGATTCTTTGTTGACGCATTTATGATTATGTAGGTCTTTAATATGCGATTGGTAATTACCAGTACGCAAATTACCAGTACGCAAATTACCAGTACAGAAGTCCAAGGTTACGTCGAGAAAGTTGATCACTTTAACATTGGTGGTTGTAGTTATTTTTAGATCAGGAACTTTGAGAATTTAATCAGATCCTTTTTCGATCGATCTATGTTTCTTGGACGAGTTTTACGACGTAAAATTACACCGTCGTCTCTGTAAAGTCCTCAACTTAATCTAGTCTTTTTGTAAATATGATTATCCATATGAACCTTAACTACATACATGCGTATATATATATATATATATATATATATATATATATATATATATATATATATATATAAATATATATATATATATATATATATATACAGTGTAGCAGGATATAAGTGACCCGGATTTTCTCTGGGCCCAAATTAGAGACTGTGTTTATGTTTATGTATATAAAATAGACTAAACCCGGATATAAGAGACTTCTCCGGTCCTGACAACTCTCTTATATCCGGGTTACACTATGTGTATGTATATATATATATATATATATATATATATATATATATATATATATATATATATGTATATACTTCCTATTAAATAACATAGAGTACACAAATTAATACAAGAATTTAATAGGTAGAGTTTAAAGGGTCACTTCCAGCTAGCGTTTGTATGTATGTGCTTAAATGTAGATATCTAAGTGTATGTTAGTGTAGACAGCTCTACGAGTAGGGATTATTAACGTGGACAAACGCATGAGAACGCATACATATATATCCAAATTCATTCCAAGTGCTTAAAAACACTCCCACAAACTTTGAGCTCTGATATATGAACGAGTTTAATATCAATAATTCCGAATAAACCCTCTTTCATTTCACCAAAGTTACCTCTTGATTGTTTTCTCCCGTTTTCGTTAATTTCCGTGAATTCCCGTCGAATTAAATTTTGACCATGTGTCCGTTAGGATGTAGGTCAGCCCATCGGTCTCCCTCGACCAGGCTCGCCTACCTCCATAATATGATTCCAGTAACGATGCATTATTCTACTCCCCATACCTCCCAATAAGTCTTCTATAACACACTCTCTCTTTCTTTCTTCAAATAAAGCCTACACTACAAACCAATACCAGAAACAGTTTGAAAAATCCTACGAATTTTAAAATTAAAATTCGTAGGTGAAAATGCTCATTTACCAAAGGTATCTTAATTCCAATTGTAAAGAAAATTTGCTGTTTAATGAACATAAACATGGACAGCTCTTTTGTGAGTCAGTTTTAACATAT